CGACAGTTGAAACCTGTCAAATTAACCATTTCTTGCGATTGAAACGCTTTGATCTGTGCTCCTTTCCCTTTGAAAATGGAAAGTAGAACAGATGGGAATAACACTGGCTTCAAGATCTGTCTTTAGTGAAATGCCGCTCGGAGAAAAATAAGGATTTCAGAGGCAGACCCCAGTGAAAAAAAAGGTCTTTGGGCCAAATAGTGTCGTCACATATTTACACCAAAAACTCAATTTCCCGAAGCTGACATGAAGCTAACACAAAACAGCTGTTAGCATCATCTCTGTGTGGAGAGAGAGACAAATGAAAATGACAGACTGACTTATTTAAAGAGCACAGTCTCAGGGCGGTGGACGCGGAACAAACTAATATTTACAGTTTATGGACCCGACGCTGGACTCGGAGAGAGGCTGCCTGCGCTGATCGTACCCTGCTCTGATTCGCTGGTTCAGTTGCTCCTCGCTGTCAATCACTTCCTGGAGGCGGGGCTTTTGACATCACAAACCGGTGCCATGTCACGAATTGAACCGAGGCGTTTCTGTGCCACTCGAGAATGAAAGAGAAAGATCGGTCTGTTACTAAAGCTTGAGGGAATGAATGAAAAAAATGACTTCCAGAAAAATATTTGACAGTGAGACAATCTGGAAACGTGTTGTGTATTAGTAATATTAGTAGTGTCTTGTTTAGTGTGATTATTTACAGCACTGATGTTTGTTAAAGTGTTGAATTTGATTTGCTGAGGTCCATAAAGAGCAGGTACAATACTCTTTGGCTTCAGTCGGTGCCTGGTTTTCTCGGAAACTCAGAAGTTCTGACTTTCTACTCGGAGAAATAGGAAAGAACACAGAAAATCGTTCTTAAGGACTTCAAGCTTTCCTATCAGTGGAACTAGAGCTGCTGGTGATCACTGGTACTGCTACTGCTGCTGGTGATCACTGGTACTGCTACTGCTGCTGGTGATCACTGGTACTGCTACTGCTGCTGGTGATTACTGGTACTGCTACTGCTGCTGGTGATCACTGGTACTGCTACTGCTGCTGGTGATCACTGGTACTGCTACTGTTGCTGGTGATCACTGGTGCTGCTACTGCTGCTGGTGATCACTGGTACTGCTACTGCTGCTGGTGATCACTGGTGCTGCTACTGCTGCTGGTGATCACTGGTACTGCTACTGCTGCTGGTGATCACTGGTACTGCTACTGCTGCTGGTGATTACTGGTACTGCTACTGCTGCTGGTGATCACTGGTACTGCTACTGCTGCTGGTGATCACTGGTACTGCTACTGTTGCTGGTGATCACTGGTGCTGCTACTGCTGCTGGTGATCACTGGTACTGCTACTGCTGCTGGTGATCACTGGTACTGCTACTGCTGCTGATGATCACTGGTACTGCTACTGCTGCTGGTGATCACTGGTACTGCTACTGCTGCTGGTGATCACTGGTACTGCTACTGCTGCTGGTGATCACTGGTGCTGCTACTGCTGCTGGTGATCACTGGTACTGCTACTGCTGCTGGTGATCACTGGTACTGCTACTGCTGCTGGTGATTACTGGTACTGCTACTGCTGCTGGTGATCACTGGTACTGCTACTGCTGCTGGTGATCACTGGTACTGCTACTGTTGCTGGTGATCACTGGTGCTGCTACTGCTGCTGGTGATCACTGGTACTGCTACTGCTGCTGGTGATCACTGGTACTGCTACTGCTGCTGATGATCACTGGTACTGCTACTGCTGCTGGTGATCACTGGTACTGCTACTGCTGCTGGTGATCACTGGTACTGCTACTGCTGCTGGTGATCATTGGTGCTGCTACTGCTGCTGGTGATCACTGGTACTGCTACTGCTGCTGATGATCACTGGTACTGCTACTGCTGCTGGTGATCACTGGTACTGCTACTGCTTCTGGGGATCACTGGTACTGCTACTGCTGCTGGTGATCACTGGTACTGCTACTGCTGCTGGTGATCACTGGTACTGCTACTGCTGCTGGTGATCACTGGTACTGCTACTGCTGCTGATGATCACTGGTACTGCTACTGCTGCTGGTGATCACTGGTACTGCTACTGCTGCTGATGATCACTGGTACTGCTACTGCTGCTGGTGATCACTGGTGCTGCTACTGCTGCTGGTGATCACTGGTACTGCTACTGCTGATCACTGGTACTGCTACTGCTGCTGATGATCACTGGTACTGCTACTGCTGCTGATGATCACTGGTACTGCTACTGCTGCTGGTGATCACTGGTGCTGCTACTGCTGCTGGTGATCACTGGTACTGCTACTGCTGCTGATGATCACTGGTACTGCTACTGCTGCTGATGATCACTGGTACTGCTACTGCTGCTGATGATCACTGGTACTGCTACTGCTGCTGGTGATCACTGGTACTGCTACTGCTGCTGATGATCACTGGTACTGCTACTGCTGCTGATGATCACTGGTGCTGCTACTGCTGCTTGTGATCACTGGTGCTGCTACTGCTGCTGGTGATCACTGGTACTGCTACTGCTGCTGGTGATTACTGGTACTGCTACTGCTGCTGGTGATCACTGGTGCTGCTACTGCTGCTGGTGATCACTGGTACTGCTACTGCTGCTGGTGATCACTGGTACTGCTACTGCTGCTGGTGATTACTGGTACTGCTACTGCTGCTGGTGATCACTGGTACTGCTACTGCTGCTGGTGATCACTGGTACTGCTACTGTTGCTGGTGATCACTGGTGCTGCTACTGCTGCTGGTGATCACTGGTACTGCTACTGCTGCTGGTGATCACTGGTACTGCTACTGCTGCTGATGATCACTGGTACTGCTACTGCTGCTGGTGATCACTGGTACTGCTACTGCTGCTGGTGATCACTGGTACTGCTACTGCTGCTGGTGATCATTGGTGCTGCTACTGCTGCTGGTGATCACTGGTACTGCTACTGCTGCTGATGATCACTGGTACTGCTACTGCTGCTGGTGATCACTGGTACTGCTACTGCTTCTGGGGATCACTGGTACTGCTACTGCTGCTGGTGATCACTGGTACTGCTACTGCTGCTGGTGATCACTGGTACTGCTACTGCTGCTGGTGATCACTGGTACTGCTACTGCTGCTGATGATCACTGGTACTGCTACTGCTGCTGGTGATCACTGGTACTGCTACTGCTGCTGATGATCACTGGTACTGCTACTGCTGCTGGTGATCACTGGTGCTGCTACTGCTGCTGGTGATCACTGGTACTGCTACTGCTGATCACTGGTACTGCTACTGCTGCTGATGATCACTGGTACTGCTACTGCTGCTGATGATCACTGGTACTGCTACTGCTGCTGGTGATCACTGGTGCTGCTACTGCTGCTGGTGATCACTGGTACTGCTACTGCTGCTGATGATCACTGGTACTGCTACTGCTGCTGATGATCACTGGTACTGCTACTGCTGCTGATGATCACTGGTACTGCTACTGCTGCTGGTGATCACTGGTACTGCTACTGCTGCTGATGATCACTGGTACTGCTACTGCTGCTGATGATCACTGGTGCTGCTACTGCTGCTTGTGATCACTGGTGCTGCTACTGCTGCTGGTGATCACTGGTACTGCTACTGCTGCTGGTGATTACTGGTACTGCTACTGCTGCTGGTGATCACTGGTACTGCTACTGCTGCTGATGATCACTGGTAATGCTACTGCTGCTGGTGATCACTGGTACTGCTACTGCTGCTGGTGATCACTGGTACTGCTACTGCTGCTGATGATCACTGGTACTGCTACTGCTGCTGATGATCACTGGTACTGCTACTGCTGCTGATGATCACTGGTACTGCTACTGCTGCTGATGATCACTGGTACTGCTACTGCTGCTGGTGATCACTGGTACTGCTACTGCTGCTGGTGATCACTGGTACTGCTATTGCTGCTGATGATCACTGGTACTGCTACTGCTGCTGGTGATCACTGGTACTGCTACTGCTGCTGATGATCACTGGTACTGCTACTGCTGCTGGTGATCACTGGTACTGCTACTGCTGCTGGTGATCACTGGTACTGCTACTGCTATGTCGATGATTCTACAAGATTTGCACATCGAGAGACAGAAAGTTTAGCCCTTTGCACTTCACACAGCAGGTTTATGGTTGTAAACATGACAGAATGTGCAAAAGTTTTAAAGGTGCTCTCTGTATTTTTTACAGTTGCTCCAAATGAATTAAACAAGTTAATTAATAACAAATGTGACCTTTTTAAAGAATATTTGCCCACACCATGTTTTTGAAATGTTTATATAGGCAGAGAATGTGACTTTTAATGTCCATGAGGCTGAGGACTCTTTGTGAATCCAACATCTTGAAATACAGTGGTTGATAAGGGACAAAAAGGTGTTTGACCTGGAGTTGGGGACCACTGTCAAAGACCACATATTGTCCTGTGAAGCTACTGTAGTACGGAAAATTACAATATAAAATCTCAGATGGGAGTGAAAACTACACAGTGCACCTTTAAGACTTTCCAGAGACACTGTTTATTCCTCTGTCTACAACAATAGTGTTAAGTTTCTGTTTTAAATAACACAATTCAACTCATAAACAGCATCACACATTTGTTCAAACAAGCAGAAGTCGTCTTACATGATCCACAGATTTTAGTTTGTGTCTGAACCGGCTTTTATCATACTCATCTTTCGACAGAGTGAGCAAAATGCAAAGTGTTCTAGACGCACAATACTGTCTGCTCTGCAAGGACGAGGTGCAGGCGCCGAACACACACAATGACCGCGCTTCAGATGGAAAGTACAGAGTAAAAAGCAGGAGAGGATTCAGACAGACACCTCCAGGGCCGTGGGGCTGAGGGGGGACAGGTGAAGGAGGCCATACAACACCATACAACACTTAAAATCCATTTCTTGCCATTTCAGTGCTCCTTTAACTGCGAAAAGGTAAAGTAGAACAGATGGGAATAACACTGGCTTCAAGATCCGTCTTAAGTGAAATGTCGCTCGGAGAAAAACAAGGATTTCAGAGGCAGATTCCATTGAAAAAAAAAAGTCTTTGGGCCAAGGGAGGCAGAGCAGAGGGAGGCAGAGCAGAGGGAGGCAGAGCAGAGGGAGGCAGGGCAGAGGGAGGCAGGGCAGAGGGAGGCAGGGCAGAGGGAGGCAGAGCAGAGGGAGGCCGAGCAGAGGGAGGCAGGGCAGAGGGAGGCAGAGCAGAGGGAGGCCGAGCAGAGGGAGGCAGGGCAGAGGGAGGCCGAGCAGAGGGAGGCAGGGCAGAGGGAGGCCGAGCAGAGGGAGGCAGGGCAGAGGGAGGCAGGGCAGAGGGAGGCATGAGGGAGGCAGGGCAGAGGGAGGCCGAGCAGAGGGAGGCAGAAGGAGGGAGGCATGAGGGAGGCAGGGCAGAGGGAGGCATGAGGGAGGCAGGGCAGAGGGAGGCAGGGCAGAGGGAGGCAGAGGGAGGGAGGCATGAGGGAGGCAGGGCAGAGGGAGGCAGAGCAGAGGGAGGCAGGGCAGAGGGAGGCAGGGCAGAGGGAGGCAGGGCAGAGGGAGGCATGAGGGAGGCAGGGCAGAGGGAGGCATGAGGGAGGCAGGGCAGAGGGAGGCAGAGCAGAGGGAGGCAGGGCAGAGGGAGGCATGAGGGAGGCAGGGCAGAGGGAGGCATGAGGGAGGCAGGGCAGAGGGAGGCAGAGCAGAGGGAGGCAGGGCAGAGGGAGGCATGAGGGAGGCAGGGCAGAGGGAGGCATGAGGGAGGCAGGGCAGAGGGAGGCAGGGCAGAGGGAGGCAGGGCAGAGGGAGGCATGAGGGAGGGAGGCAGAGGTGAGGGAGGGCAGATACAGGCAGCTGTGGCTTATATTCGTAACATGTCTCCCTCAAATATATGAGACAATGAAAACTGACAGAGCTCAGTGAAGGTCTGATGCAAAGGGACAGTACCTGAGTTTATTTAAGTGGAGATGGTTGGTGGAATGAAGCCAAACTACTTCTACAAACTATAGAAGTACCTTGTTTTTCTAAAAGCATAGAAATAAAATAGTTTTGCAGAGAACAATGTGTCTAAACCACTGGATAACAATAACAGTAAAGAGGAGCAGTGCTGAGGCCTGTGTTCACTGACTTTAATGTTCTTATCTGTGGAAACGCTGACACAGTAAACGCTGCTGTGCTCTCAAACAGACACTCATTAATAGATCCAAACCCATACATCCCGAGCCTCGCTGTGTTCAGGAGCTCGGCTTTTCCATAATTCAATAATTGAGATGTTTTTCCAGACAGAATGCTCACATTAAAAAGATGAATGAAGGTTTTCCTGCAGCGCTGCATGGATCCGAGCAGAGACCAGTGCCTTTTAACATCGGCCCCCGGACGATTCATCATCTTAGATTATCTCACCTTCTGTTCGAACACAACAATACACTGGATATAGGAAGAAAGAGCTTATGATTCTGCACAGGCACAAGGCCAGACCCCTCTGAGACCAGGACTAATGTGAGAGGACTTCAGGACAGAGACCTGAGACCAGGACTAATGTGAGAGGACTTCAGGACAGAGACCTGAGACCAGGACTAATGTGAGAGGACTTCAGGACAGAGACCTGAGACCAGGACTAATGTGAGAGGACTTCAGGACAGAGACCTGAGACCAGGACTAATGTGAGAGGACTTCAGGACAGAGACCTGAGACCAGGACTAATGTGAGAGGACTTCAGGACAGAGACCTGAGACCAGGACTAATGTGAGAGGACTTCAGGACAGAGACCTGAGACCTGGACTAATTAGAGAGGACTTCAGGACAGAGACCTGAGACCAGGACTAATGTGAGAGGACTTCAGGACAGAGACCCGAGACCAGGACTAATGTGAGAGGACTTCAGGACAGAGACCTGAGACCAGGACTAATGTGAGAGGACTTCAGGACAGAGACCTGAGACCAGGACTAATGTGAGAGGACTTCAGGACAGAGACCTGTGACCAGGACTAATGTGAGAGGACTTCTGGACAGAGACCTGAAACCTGGACTAATGTGAGAGGACTTCAGGACAGAGACCTGAGACCAGGACTAATGTGAGAGGACTTCAGGACAGAGACCTGAGACCAGGACTAATGTGAGAGGACTTCAGGACAGAGACCTGAGACCAGGACTAATGTGAGAGGACTTCAGGACAGAGACCTGAGACCTAGACTAATGTGAGAGGACTTCAGGACAGAGACCTGAGATCAGGACTAATGTGAGAGGACTTCAGGACAGAGACCTGAGACCAGGACTAATGTGAGTGGACTTCAGGACAGAGACCTGAGACCAGGACTAATGTGAGAGAACTTCAGGACAGAGACCTGAGACCAGGACTAATGTGAGAGGACTTCAGGACAGAGACCTGAGACCAGGACTAATGTGAGTGAACTTCAGGACAGAGATCTGAGACCTGGACTAATGTGAGAGAACTTCAGGACAGAGACCTGAGACCAGGACTAATGTGAGAGGACTTCAGGACAGAGACCTGAGACCAGGACTAATGTGAGAGGACTTCAGGACAGAGACCACACCTCCACCGTCTCAACCACATCCCTAATGACCTCTATTTATACGAGCCAATCCGGCAGCATCATTTCGCTCGGCTTTCTCACCTGTGACATCAGTATCTCTGGGGGGGGGGGGGCACGGCTTCACCCCCCTCCCCCCTCATCCCCCCTCCCCAAGTCTCACCCTTTCATCTCTGATCCATTTCTTCACATGGACCAGGAATCACCAACCTTATTTGATGCTTGGTTCCACCGTTACCGTGGCGAACGCATTTCCAGTCTTTAATGGCTTCGGCCGATGCAGACGACAGAGACTTCAGTCACTTTGAATAATTACAAACTGGATTTTACAGTATTTGAACATTTGGTCCTTTTAGGTCACTTCATTTTGTCTCATTTTTTGTCTTTACTCTTTTTTATGCACTTTGTCTATTTATGATTTTAGTCCTATTTCTCATTTTAATGTTTTAAGGTTTTAAACTATTTTCTATGTTTTTAATATTCCTTGTAGTTTGTTTTTAATTGTGTTTCTAATGTATACGAAGATTTTAATGTGTATGATTTATGCCGGCTGTGAGGCGCTTTGTGTTGCCTTGTATAAGAAAGGAACTCTACAAATACAAATGTTGATTGATTCATTTTGGATTAAACCATAGACTGTAAATATTAACAGATGCAGTCACGCTTATATTCGCCGTTGAAACTAATGTGCCCTCACTTTTGCCTCTGTGGGCTTTTTCAAAATGGCCAAGGGGCAGGAAAATGTGAAAAGTGCATTGTAAAGTCCACAGCGGCTAAACTAGACAGATCCAAAAAATATCCTCCCCTCAGCAGTCACAGCATCTGGAACGTATAGTTGGACCAAGAGCCACATTTGGACCATCCTGTAAAGAGGTTTTTGAGAGGAAAGAACACGCCATACTAAAGCATTGGGTAATTCCGTTTCCGGGTACACCCCCACCAGCCCGAAGTGTGCTTTACTCTGCACTAAAATAATATAATATCTCAAACTTTCTGATGGAAATCCTGTAAAATGCTCGGTCTTTACTTAACGTGATTCTTTGGATATTGTCTTTTTAAATCCAGACGTGACCACATAATTACTGACCAATCAGGGGCCTTCCCTCCCCAAATTCTGCTCCGGCTCAAAGCAGCCTGGCTCCTGATTGGCTGCTGGGCTGAAGAGAGAGAATCTGGCTTTAGGTTTCTGCGAATCCTCATGGAGCCTGTTGGAGTTCGCTCTGATCAGTTTCTTCTGCTGTTACTGTGTGTGTGTGTGTGTGTGTGGGTGTGTCTCTCTGTGTGTATGTTCTGTATTTTTTCTATATGTGTGTGTCTCTGTGTGTGTCTCTATGTGTATGTGTTCTGTGTGTGTGTGTGTGTCTGTGTATGTATCCTGTGTGTGTGTGTGTCTCAGTTTGGCTCCTGTGTGTGTTTGTGTGTGTGTGTCTCTATGTGTATGTGTTCTGTGTGTGTGTGTGTCTGTGTATGTATCCTGTGTGTGTGTGTGTCTCAGTTTGGCTCCTGTGTGTGTGTGTGTGTGTGTGTGTGTGTCTTGGCTCCTGTGTGTGGTGTGTGTGTGTGTGTATGTGTGTCTTGGCTCCTGTGTGTGTGGAGTGTGTGTGTGTGGAGTGTGTGTATGTGTGTATATGTGTGTGTCTTGGCTCCTGTGTGTATATGTGTGTGTGTGTGTGTGTGTGTCTTGACTCCTGTGTGTGTGTGTGTGTGGTGTGTGTATGTGTGTATATGTGTGTGTCTTGGCTCCTGTGTGTGTGTGTCTTGGCTCCTGTGTGTACATAACAATGGCCTGGTCTCCACCCAAAGCTGAGCTGGAGCCGCGCTGCCTTTGAACCGCGGCCACGGCACGGCACTGACACCATATGTTTGATTATTCAGTATTTTTAGAGACACATTTTAACAAAACAAAACAGGAAGTATAAATATATCATTGCATTAATCACACAAGCACGACAACACACTCTCAAAGAACTACACACACATACTACAATTACTATTGAACAAGTATCAAATGATTAAACTCCATGGTGTGCCAAAAACCAAGATATAAAATGCACAAACCAATAATTCTGATTAAGATGAAGAGGTCCTTTTTTATCCCACAGCGGGAAATGTCAGTGTTGCATCACCAGTACTAGATACGTCAACATTAACTTAGCATCTTTAAAAACTACTTCCCCATTTAGCATATGGGGTAGGAGTTTACAAGATTTTGTTGTTGTTATGGTATTTTGTTAGCCTGGTCGTACCACACCATAGTACAAATTACATTTCGTACTAAAGTCTGGATTTGCTCCATTGACTCCGGTGGGGGGGTTAACTTCTTTTACAGATTGAAACCATTTGATCTGAGTTTATCGTGACGTATGTAATGTGAGTATGTGTATGTCTGAGTGAGTTGCTAGCATTTAGCCAAGCTTTAGCATTTAGCCTAGCTTTAGCCATCTCCTTTGCTGCTAACGGAGCCCGTGGGGAGTAGCGCCACAATCTTTGCCAGCGATTACATTTGCTAAAAATTACTCTTGCCCCGGCTTCAATTTCTTGATAGAACCAGACCAGAATACTTTACTATCTCATTCTTCGCCATTGCCAAACTAGGACCGGCCAATTCGGAGCAAACTCTTGAGGAGGAAAGTTGAAGTTGGACCAGAATACAGGTTTAAGGATTGTTTTGTGAATAGACAATAATTGGTATGAAATTCATGGTGCCAACATTCTGCTGACGTCATCTGAGCTACTGACCCCTGACAGAGTGTGACATCACCCGTACCGGTTGCAAAGGCAAGCTGGAGATTCCCCTCACAAAAGAAGTAATCTGATTGGTCAATTATTATGTGGCTCATATCTGGATTTATTTACTTTATTTTAAATGTGTCAGAATTAGCTAGAGCTAGTTTTTCCAACTGTGGTCCAAAGGAAAGGTGTAAAATCCCAACAAAATACACTGCAAACATTACAATACAAAAATAATCAGTTAAACATTACAATTTAAAACAGGTCATTAAAACATATACAAATAAAACACAATAGTATACTACAAATCATGAACGGTTATAAGCTTGATTGTTTTTAATGTGCATTTAAAAGTCCTGAGTGTATGGACAGAACTGAACGGAGAAAGCTGATTGGCTGAAGGACATTATTCTCTTCGGGACTAGATGATTAGAGGAAGTAGATGTGGTGTTTCTGTTTCTCTGCTTAAAGAGACAGACAGTGGAGGTGGGGCCGGCACATTTAATATTCTAAAAACCAGAAGAGCATCTTGG